CTACACAACATTAAAGTTTATTAAGAAATAATGGGCCATTTCACTCTAATGTAAGCTCATACTGTTTAACATTCAGCTCTGGATACTCCAGGCCTGAATTCTTAGGCAGAGATGTGGACACATTTAGACATCAATTAAGATCCTTATCCGTCCTTTTAGAGTGCTTAATTTTAATATTTATGTGATGGTTTGAAGTTGTTCCATGGCAGTTTAAGCCTCAACTGCATGAAGTAAAGGATAGCTAACATGGGTGCAGCATACTTTTTAATTGTCTGGGAATTTGAACCGCCAGTCATTCTTTAAGCACCACCACTGTCCCAGCCAACAGAGTGGTGCAGTGATGACGTATATTTGTAGGCCAACCTAGAAATTTGCATCACCCTGGTTCCCTCAACCAATACCCAATAGGATTTTTCCATTGGCTTTTGGATTATTGCAGAAAATAAGATCTGTGATCAACAAAACTAAGTGATTCTCATTTTTTTTTTTTTTTTTTGAGAATCTTCACAAATTAACACAACATGATGCCTAAATAAAACCACCAAAAGTAAAAAGTGTAAGCTATAAATGAACTACACCACAGTCACATGACTTTATCATCATCACCAATTACCTTCTGAACTCTCTTTCAGTCTTTGTTTAACAAACCTTTTTAGACACTTGTTAGCAATCACCTCTTTCAAGATAAGTAAATGCTTTACAAAATCGCATGGTGTTATTTAATGCCATTTAGCAAAACAAGAAAATATATTGATCTTGTGTTCACTATAGATCTTATTTCAGGCATTTACCAAAAACCTGTTAGCAAAACCCATTGACTTTGGAACGATGGAACCAGAAGTGTTAAAATGCTAATTTGTTTCCAGGTTTTGGCCTACATAAATATGTCATCCCTGCAATACTATATAAGCAGAATGGAAAATAAAATGTCCACACAGGAGTCAACAACAGGCTCATATGTTTACTTTTACACATCCAATACATCAATAATGTTGCGTGTTTTGTTGTATGATTCTCAGTGAAAACTGATGGATGTTCCTTTTCAGTCAAAAAAGCTAGTTAAATATATTATTAAATTAACATTTTTTTAATTAAAATTTTATAAAAATATTATTAAAAATAAAATTGTATTTATTAAAAAAAAAAAACATCACTCCCACGATAACGTCTATTTATCAGAACCAACCAATTTTTCTACCATTTTTCTCAGAGTCATAACAGATAATACATTTGTTCCATTTTCATTCTCTTGTCATCTGTAAGAATAACAGCAACAGAGGAGGATGCTTCAGGTCTGATTGTAGTGTGCAGTAAATTAATCAAAGCCTCAGAACAGACCGAGAACCAAGAGCAGATTAAAGTAGTGCAATCTGTGAACACTTGAGCATGATCAAAGCATTCGACAGATCACTGCTAATCAATCCACACAATCAACCGAAATACACAGATAGCATCACAGGAAGAATGGCGTGAAAATGAGAGAGAAATACTAGAGAAGTGACACAGAGGAACTTTCTTCACCTCACACTTAAAGGATTATGGAGGTTGGTTTTAAAAAGCAGAATCATTTTGTCAGACATGATCAAGTGTGTGTCTAAGTAATGTTTGTGTGCTAAAAACATCCTACTAAAATATAGTTTCCTTGAATTGTGAAAAAATAAAAAATAAATAAAAATGTTTTATATATATATATATATATATATATTAGAGATGCACCGATTGACCAGCCAGTGATCGGAATCGGGCGATTTTTCGCATGACCGGCCCGGATCGGTGACCGGCCAATAATGTATTTATGTCGTGCCCGGTGAGGCTTGCACAGCCTGAGTGAGTGTGTGAGAGAGACAGCACACACAAAGTATCTCACAGAAATGTATAGATGCATACTGCGGTAGAAAAAAAATATATTTACAAAATATGATTTAGGTAAGCAACTTTATACGGCCATGATGTTTCCTCGAATACCAATATCAACAAGATTGCAATGTGACACTGAATTTATACAATAGTATTTCAAGAAACAAGTTAAAATTAAGTGACTTCGGTTTTAGACAAAATATTGACTATTTTTGCTCAATTTCGCTGACGAAAATAGTTCCGATCAAAGCCACAGCAGAACTGTTGTGTG